TGAGATCATAACTGGCCCTTGATCCTTTTCCTGAACTGCATACATTTTAACTGCATAGACTTACAGAATTTTAGAATTAAAAAAAATTTAAAGGCCAACAATTATAAACTATCACTTAATACAGAAATTCCTTTGTGAATATTCTGAACATCTTGAACATCTATTGTCCCTCTGAAGAACTCTAGTAATTAAGAACTTCCTTCCATAGTGTAGTAAAAAGATTATAAGACCTAGAGTCAGAGGACTTGGATTATAATCTGGCCTCATTTGTAGGATAATCTTGCAAACTGAGTAATATTGAGAGCATTAGTTTCTTCACTTGTAAAATAAAGATAATCCTTACCCTACTTTATTTGGCTATTCTATATCTAAAAACATTTTCTAAACTATAAAGCACTGTTATAGACGGTTATTACACAATTATGTTTGTGTATATAACATATAATTTTTGTTATATATAGTGTTATATATAATATATGATTAAATAAGCACATAATGTTTTATAAAAATGTAAGAAAATATATGATCATATAATATGATTATGATATAATACATACTATTATATTACAATATATTAAGCTATTTAAATAAAACTATTGCGTATCAACATCACCTCACAAGAAAATATCATTTCTTCAATGTTAGATTGATGTAATTATTCTAGGAGTATTTTTCTTTGAGCTCAAATTTATTTCCCCATGGTATTTGTGTATTATGACATTTATTCTTTGAAACAATGTAGACCAGATCCAGTATTTCTTCTGTGTGATTACTATGTATTAAACCAAGAAAACCGATAGGCTTAAAAAAATTAAATTTATTGGGGTGACATTGGTTAATAAAATTATATAGGTTTCAAGTATACAATTCAATAATAGGTCATATATATATATATATATCTTCTATGGAAGAATTTTCTGACATCTAGAAATTTAAGGACACAGATCTCCAGTTTAAAAGTCATTTGAAGTAAAGAAAACTCTGAGTTCATATGCTCTTGGGGCTTCTTTCCCATGTATAATTAAGGATTATATTTAGTTTGATAAATATCTTTCTTAGGCATCTTTAATTGTAAAGCAGTGAAGTGGAAAATTATGGTTTTACACAGCTACTTTATATTCTGTCTTTAGGGGGCAGTACTAAACCACTGATAAATTTTGTTATTTCTGCTAATGGTATTGATAATAGCTAATAGAAAATAAAATTAACAATAATGAGATTGGTGATGCAATTATATACAGCCCTTAATATTGGTAAAATTTTCCAGGTAGCCAAATGAAAATTACAGTTTTAAGTTCATTCATTTAATGATTTATTCAACAAGTATTAAATTCCATTATGTAAGAGACACAAATGAGAGTCGGCAATATTTGCTTTCAGATAACTTACAATTAACTAGGATAAGTAAGCCATACTTGTGCATGTGTGTGTGTGTGTGCTATGTGTGTGTCCACATTTCTTTCAGGATAAAGATAATAATAAAAATCACAATATTTATTGATTATTTTTTATGTACCGGCCACTGTCAAGTAATAAATTTTACTCTATCACGTACGAATTATGATTGTGTCTACTTTGCAGATAAGGAAGCTGAGGATTAATAAGGTTATGTGATTTGCTCAGTCACACAGCTTGCAAGAGGCAGAGCCAGGATTTAAATATGTATCTATATGACTTCAAAGCTGATGCTTTTTTGCCATTATGCCTTCTATTATTTCAAAATGTATGTGAAATATAATACACAAACTCACACAGAGATATAGGCATTCAGAAGAGAGCAACATCATTTCTGTTAGTGAGAAATCTGGAACATTTTACGTAAGAGGTGAAATCTGAAATGTATTTTGAGGAATCAATGGGATTATAAGAGAATAACAGCTAAAATGGTAGTTAATATTTATTAAAACCTTATTATGTGTCAGGTACTTTAGATTCATTACTTCATTTAATTATCCAGAAAAATTATGAGGGAAGTCCTAATATGTTATTTTCCCATTGCATAGATAAGGTAAGTGAGGCTGACAGTGGTCATATCTGATGAAAATCACACTAAAAAGTAGGCTAACCGGAGAGTTGAACTTGAATCCAGAACTAATTTTAGAGTCTAAACTCTTAACCAGTACCTGCTATACAGGGAAGTAAGATGAAAGGCATTAATAAAAGCACGGAGCATAATTAGGAAAAGTTAAACAATTCCATTTGGTTACAGTCTGGGGTGGATATAATAGAGTAAGAAAAAGACAGAAAAATAGACTGTGGAATCTTGAAGCCAGATTAAGGAATCTATATCACTTGCTGTGCAATGAGAAATAACTGGTGATTTATGAGTGGGGAAGAGACATAAACAGAGTTTTTCTTTGGGGAGGAGACAAAGATAGAGGAAGAAAAAACTGATTAACCTATGAAATGTCAAATATTCTTATCCAAGTATGTAATGATTTATAGTGCCATGCCACATCAACCTTGATGATCAAACCAATAACTGATCATGAGTTGATGAAGGAAATGCCTATTTGATCATTCTGTTCATTTTTGTAGACAGTGTTGATCAAACACATATGGATGTTCTTGCTCTATTAAGACTTTAGACATCCCAAGATTTTTTCACCCAGATGATCTGTAGGATCAAAAATCCCAGTGATTGTATTACTGATTTGAGAAATGTGTATTTATGAAAGTATGGACTACTATGTACCAAACTACAGAAATTTTCACTGGATCTCACAGATAGTAAAATGCTTTTGCGAGTGTCATGTAGCAGAAATATATTAACAAATATATTTCTTTGATTTAAACTGCAGTTGCATTAGCTTGGCTGTTCAATATACTGCTTTTTACAGGTTATTGTGCTGAATGAGAAGCCACGTAATAGGGTTAAGGAAGTAAGCTCTAGAGTAGTTAAGGTTAAGGTGAGCTGTAGCATCAGACAGTCTGTGTTGGAATCCAGTTTTTGCCACTTACTTGCTCTGTGACCGTGGGTTTTACTTGACCTCTCTATGCTTTAGCTTAGAATGTGCTTCAAGGGGTTGTTGTGTAAATTAATAAATAATAGTGCTCAATAGATTGTAGTTAATATTATTATGGTATCTTATAGACAGTAAATGATTTGGGAACTATTTAATTTCATAATTTCTCAGTTATCAACAATCAATAAAGGGAAACTTAAGATGCGAGTGCCAACAAGCAGTCTTACAAAGTCTTATATTCTATTTTTAAAAGAAACAACTTTGGTGGGGGAGTGGGTGCTATTTACAATTCCACATATAAAATGTCTTTATTAATTCCGATAATCAAAATCCATCAGTGTTGTGATGAACACTACATTCTCAAGATATTTAGACAAACTTATTGTGTTCTTTTTATTTTTATTCACTCTGCTAAACATTCAGTAGGCTCTTTTTTAATATGGAAATTTTCTTCAGTGCTAATAGAATTTCTTGTATTATTTCTTTGATAATTTCCTACCATCTCTACATGGACCTTTTAGTTTGATCCCCTAGTTTTGTTAACTTGCAACTTCTTTTCATCTTCTGTTCTATCTTCTGGGAAATTTTCTCAAGCTTATTTTCCAAATCTTCTGTTGGATTTTAGGTATTTATGCTGTAGCATTCTGCTCTTGTTTCAGTGATGCAAATATCTTTCTGAGGATGCTATTTATAACTTTTTTCTGTATATTTATGTTTGGTCTCTGTTAAAGGCTTCCTTAAAATATTTGGTGATCTTTGGATTCTTGTTAGAATTTAACCAAAAAATTAGAAACTATATGTGAGTGGAGTTTGTTGAAAGGTGGGCTTCACAGTAAGTGTTAAGGCATAGACCCCCCACCATTTTACTAGGTTCTTATAGATCATTTATGTGAGGAAGTTAATTTCTACAGAAAGGTATATATTTAGTCTCTTATGTAGGGTATATAAATCTAGATGCCATATTCTCTAAGGCAAATGTGGGAAGGCACTGGGGTGGGTCGAGAATCTTCATTTAGTATATAGATATTTACTTAATTCTTTTGTTTTTAGATAGATGCTCTTCTCACTGTACATGGATTCTTAGAATTTATAATCCCTTTGCTTCAACCTCACCAGAAGGTAAATCTCCAATTTTTTGTCAGGTGGTAAAGGTTCAGTTTCTTGGCTGGATGAGAAGGAGATGAGCATACGGGTCTAACTTCCTCTGATATATAGTTTCCATCCTGTTTTAGCCCCACTTGCCCCTACACCTTCATAAATCATCAATCTTTTAAATTATGAAGCCCTTTCGAAGGTGCTGAGTCATGAACAGGACTGCCTGGTTCTTGGTCTTTCCTCTTGCAGTCACTTTGCTTTCAGTTTTCTCAAATTTGCTAAATCAGGTAATTCCTACCCATCTGTCTATCATTATTCAGAAATTTTCTTGATATTGCTCATCTGCTAACATCTTTCCTGTTGTCGTTTTCCTTCTGGTTTAGACCATTTTTACGAACACTTTGCTGTCATTTTAGTGGGGTTTTGGAAGTAGCAAAAGTAAATATGTATGTTCAACATGGAAGTCCTATGATAAATTTTAAAAGTATTACCCCTTTACATGTATAATATAAAATTTCAGGAATCTCTCCCCAACCCCCACCCCCACCCCCCCCAAAAAGGAAATACATTTTTGGTGACATTGTGGAAAAAATGGGCTTTTAAGCAATTTTTATTTCAATAAAGTATTCCATGCTATTCCTCTGATTACATTTAGAAATTATAAAATTTTTCTCATTTGTTACTATTCAACTATTATTCTGGGTCAACTTTATATCTTACCGGTCTTTCTCACTCAGTTTTTTTCACCTTCAATTTAAAATTGAATTATACCTGGTTTTTTTTTTTGGCTGGTTCATGTGGTACAGCCACATAACTATGGCTAGGATTAAGCTGAATTTTGCTTGCTAACTACACTGTAAGAAATTTATGTAATTTAATTGATAAGATATCTAAACAACATTGATATAATATATTGGTATAATATAAATTTAATTTCAGAGAACTTCATCTACAATAAATTTGTCACCAGGAGAAGTGGAAGAAGAAGATGATGTTGAAAACACTTGTGGACCCTCAGGACTCTGGGAAGCATTAACTCCCTGTAATGGATGTAGGAACCTTGGCTTTCCTATTCTTGCACAGGTAACGGTTTGCTTTTCTTAAAGTACCATAAAACAAAAACAGTTGCCTACATTTTTAAGTAAGTCTCGTTTCCCCCTCTGAAGATCTAATTAGTATCTTGTTCACTTTGTAATTTTTAGTTAAGGTGAGTAACATATTTACGTAACTTGTTCTAAATATATGCATATGCAAGGACATACTTTACATAATTTTGTGTAGTTGTTTAATTTGGTCACAATGCTGGTTCCAGAAGTATGGAGTTGTTTAAGAGGTTTTAATATTGTGATCCTGAAATATTTCATTTAAAGAATGCTATTTTGAAATTAAATCACAATTTATTTTAAAATAATAGGGAAAAAATGATTTATAAGGAAACATATTAGGGCTCTTTAAAAGCATAGTCAGTGATTTTTTTTTTCTTAGCACAATGGAACACAGCAAGCTAATGTGTGCCATTGAGGATTATGCAGTGCAATTAAAAAATGAGACCAGAATACTAAAACATTGCCTACAATTTTGAAACCATTTTGCTAGTCATTGTCAATTTTGTTTCTACTGTATCACATTCAACTTCCTAATGTATGCTATGGACCATAAGCCCTTAGAGGAGTTTCAGAACTAAGTAAAATAAGACAGAGTTAGGAAATTTGAACCCACAATGAAATTATTTCTACACAAAAATGAAAAAGCACTTAGTACAAAAAAACAGTGTAATGGTAAAGGTACATATGTGTAACTACATAGCACACGGGTGGAAAAATAGTCTAGGACAGGAAATAATTCACAGTAATTGTCCAGAAGTGTTATATCTCAAAAATGTTATTTCCTGTTTTTACAACAAATATGAAGGAATTGTGTCTATGAAACCATTTTCATGTTTGTGTCACAATTTGATCAAAATTCCAATATTAATTTATTGTGGAGAACTAAACAGGATATTCAGGTCAGCATATAGTACTAAAAGAGTCTCTTCACCTTAATATGAACTATTTATAAGACTTTAAGACAATTTATCCTAACCAATACATAATTGTTGTCAATATATACTCAACTGTGAGCTTCATAAAGGTAGAGACTATGTATTGCTCATCATCTATGGTCTGATGCCAACATGGTTCCTGGTATATTGTCAGAATTAAGTAGTAGTTGAATGAAACAGTGAACAAATGTGTATATTCTATGGTTTCATTTCTTCACTTATAGTTTTTACATATGAAGTTTTACCTCGAGGGTATAGGAGAAAAGAAATTAAGAAAAATTAAAAAAGATTTTATTTTAATAATATACTCTCATCTGCTTACCAGTTTACCAATAATTGAATGCTTTTATATATATTTTTTGTTTTATAAAATTAACATCCTTGCATTTTATATTTTTAAAAATATATTAGAAAGCATTAGGGCTCAATGCCATCAATAATATATGACTATATCTGGTTCTCTACCACTTTACTAACATTTACTTTTATTTTTTAAATTTAATTTTATTAGACTTAGTAGTATTGGTAGCAACTTGCTAGTGGCTTAAAATTTTTTAGTATTAGATATTTTTAATTGGCTACTTTTCTGTGAAGAGTGGTATTGCTTTGATAAATATTGAATATTAATATTTTAGTCATTTCATGTGCCACAAAATGCTTCCCAGTCTGCAGTTTTCCTCCTTTTATTTTGTATGTTTGTATATGTCGCATAGTTTTTCAAACTAACAAATTCATTAAACTTCTCAGTCTTATTTTTTGTTTAATTCATTTCATCTAGAATTTCTTTTAACAAATTCCAAATTTGGCTCTATGCGTTTTGTATATATTAATATCTATTATTCTGTGACTTTCCATTGGACAACAACTCACATTCCTTATTATGTTTTATCCTATTTGGTTTATGTTTTCTTTTGAAATCTCTTATTTCCATTTTTCTATTTTTAAAACCACATGACTCAGTTTTGATATTTTTATATAAAATATGTGGCAGGAGAAATCATTATTACATTAAAACTGTTAGATGACATGATTGCTTTCTTTAAAAAATTTATATTTTATAATTATCATTGAGTTTAAAAAAATTCTTTTGAGATTTTTTTATTTCTTATTGTATTAGTTTCAAGTATATAGTACATTGGTTAGACATTTTTATAGTTTATAAAACGATCCCTCTAATTGCTCTTTCTCTCCTCTGGCTCTCTCCCTAACCAATACATTAATGCTAACTGCATTCCCTATGCCATGCTCCCCATCCCCGTGACCATCTATCAGCTCCAAATTTGTACTTCTTTAACGCTTCACCCCTTTCTCCCAGCCCCCTAACTCCCTCCCCTCTGTCCATCACCAGATTGTCCTCTATATTTATGAATGTTTTTGATTAGTTTGCTCTTTTTGTTCCTTAGATTCCACATATAAGTGAAATCATATGGTATTTATCTTTATCTGACATTTCGCTCAGCATAAAAAACCTCCAGGTCTATCCATGTCATTGCAAATGGTAGAATTTCATTTTTTTAAATTGTTATTGCATTAGATCTATAGATTTACTTGAGATGCAGTATCCTTTTCAAAATTTTTTTTTTACTGTATTTAATCTAACAAATCAAGATTAGAATACTTTTACCAATGTTCTCACCTAGCCTTTTAATTAATGTTCTCAATTTGTTGATGGACTCTCCTTTAACATTTATATGTGTGTATATATATGCATGCATATATTAAAATAAAATCGTTTAATGTGTGACGGTACAAAAGTATAAAAATCCTTTCATATTTTACAATCAAATTCATGCACAATGGATGATTCCTTTAATATAGTTTAATATATTTGTTATGACACTGAAGGTCTTATATCCAATGTAGATTTATCCTGCAACTTGCAACAGCTTTGAACTCAGGACTTTTTAAGCATATGGTTTTGTTATTTATGAAATCTTAAGAAAACTATTTATTTTGAAGCCTTTTTCAGATCTGAAGTATTTTATGAGGCTATTAAAACTCATTAAGCTATAAGTACTGTGCATATTGGGCCCCATAAAAAACCACTGCCTTGCAGTTTGGTACAAGAGACCTAGGTAACAGTAGAATTAGTATAGAGCTATGTGAATTTCTATATGCCCAGATGTGTTTGTTTGAAATAATTGATATTTATTTCACATTTATAACCCTTAATTTAATTGGATCGAGCAAACATGTATCAAATATCTTCTATATTCAAAGCACAGTGTTAAGCTTCAGAAACATGAGGGTTATGGAAATACAGACTTAATTGGTAGCCAGGTTACCTATACTTTCTGGTTCTGGGTTACAAAACTGTGGGATGTGTCTATCGCTTTTAAACTCTTAAACTCGCAAAATTATCTTATAGTTCTAAGATTAATTTCCAGTTTTGTTTAGATTTCGATCTTATATTTACATTTTATCTAATTTTTTGTTTCCCTAGTCTTTCGATGGCATTTTATCCTTCCATTGTGACTAATTATTGAAGTTTTTATAAGAAGTAGTTCCTTCCAAGTTCATGAAAATTTAGAATTCTAAATAATATCAGGAGATTAAAATTAATATTTATATAATATGTTGGGGTACTTTAGTGTAATTTCAAAGCAGTTAAATAAGATTTAAGTTGGGCAAAGAATTAGGAGAGAAATCAAGAATGAAGAGACTGGAAAAATGAAGTCCTTTCTAGAAAGTACAACTAAACTCAAATGTTTTTCAACACTTTTGACAATAATAATCATTATCATTTACACAGTGCCTACTATATGCCACATATTTCACATGTCTAATACCTAATTCTCAAAGTAACCATTTAAAGAAGAAAACAGGTAACCTACTCAAAGTCATAGTTAATGTTAAAATAGTTAAAAATTATGATGTCATGTTTCTTTCCTGGCTACATTTACATCACCTTGCTTTCTATTGGTTGTTTCTGTTCCTGGTTATGTTTTGGAAATTTTAGAGTTTTCTTTGGCTAATAAATGTAGATCATAAATGGACAAGAATCTTTGAGAACATTCTTTAACATTTTATTCTGTCACCTATTTAATTACAAATATCAAGTTAAGGGAAACTTAAAAATAGTTCAGAGCCCAATATTAAATTGCCATTAATTTTATGGCTACTCTTTCCTGTTAATAGAGCATTATGTTCTTAGAGCAGAGAGTCAAGTTGAATTTTATTATGGTGGCCGATACTGCTTTCCCACAGTCTTGGACAAGATGTCCACCTCTGCACCATAAGCAGTACAGGAGTTTGAGCCTTTTTTTTTTTCCTTTTTCAAGAGTCCATCTTGCTGGATGGAGAGCCTCTGGCTTCTATCCCATTTACTCATGTAGTCTTCACTCTGCAAGGTCGAGATGAGAGATCCTGATAGTGAGGCTTTAGCTGTTTTTGCAACGGGCTTGCCAATAGTCTCTGCTCTTGCATTCACCATACTCATGCTGTCCTCTGGCGGGAGGCCAGCAGCTCTTACTGATGTGCTGGAAGTTACCCTCTAAGGGCAATATTCAAACATATCGAAAGCACCCGTTTGAGCCATTCGGTCTCGCTTCTTCCTGGATCTGTGAAGGCTGCTCCTGTTAGTGCTGTGTTTCTCTTCAGATTGGTTGCAGACACATCCATGGCCCATATGTTAGTATCTGTTTTACACTGCTCCTGCCACCACTGCTGCTCTTGTTTCAGGCGCTGTAGGCTTTGTGACAGAAGTATGTGAACTCTTGAAGATGTAGGAGGCACGTGAATTCAGTCCTCCCCAGCATAACCATCAGAGGTGGCCCCAAACACTTCAGGGTTCATGTGAAGGTTCCTAATGCTGATTTGATCTTGATCCGTTCCACGGGAATCAAAAGCATTTGCCTAGGAGGAAGACAGATAAGTGAAGTGAAGAAAGTGAGACCAGAAAGGTCTGCTCCCTTCTATTCCCATAACTAAACAAGATTAAGAATTTTGAGGTCTCAAGTCTTATCTCCCATTTGAAGCAGGAAACCCCGGTTATCTCCACAGTGATCATCTCAGTTTTGCTTTAATAGTTCCACACCCAGCAAGAGCACTACTAAAATCACCAGTAAGTATCTTCATACACTTTTAAAAATACACTTGTATTAGTATGATTGCCGGTAAAGCGGTATGCACTTTCATATTTTATAGCTACTAACGAATTGTACAAATGCACACAAGCATGTTGCACTGACACTGATAACATATAAAAATCAGTACATAGCAGTCATGGAGAGATATGATGTCCCACAATGTATCAGCCTACCTGGGTCGGAGTGGTATATGTTAAAGAATGTATTGGATGGTCAGGATGATGCAGAGGTAATAGAATACTGATATGAAATTAAGAATTGCTGACAGCTAAGGAATCTCTGAAATACAGCCTCAGGGAATGCCTTGGAGAAGCACTAGGGACCTTCTCAATGTGGCATGGCCTCCAAATGGAGGCTTTTTTGGCCCTGAGCACTTCCAAATGCAATACATTTTTAGGCGAGCCTCAGTACTCAAAGCTCTGCAGGACCTTGAGCTGTTCTCCCAAAGCACCCAGCCCCATCTTTTAGAGACTCTGCAAAGACCTACCTGTAGGCTCTTGTCTTCCTCCTCAAACCTAGTTATGTCCAGTTCATCCCCAGCTGGGAGGGCATAGGTACAGCTGTAAGCCTCCACTGGTGGTCTCAGGATGCAAACAAGGTTTTCCCAGTGAGCAAAGAGATCTCTTGCATTTGAAGTGGGACATAACTGAAGATAGAAACAGCGGCCAGTGGCAAACTTCAGGCGGAGCCGTTTTGTTTTACTGTCATGGATCGATATCTTTACACACTCCAAGGGAAGCAGCCTGGTTAGCTCTAGGACCTCGGTAGGCTTTTTACCTCCTTTCTGGGTGCGAGAGCCAGAGGTAGCAGCTGGTTGAGCCAGCAGCATGACATCAGGTAGCGCGAGGTTGGGGCTGGTACGAACGATGCCCACAGTCACCATGTTGGCACGGTTGTATACATCAATCACTGATCCTCTTCTGTTCACCTGTATGAAGTCGCTCTCAAACATTGGTGCATACTTGAATAGAGTGTACTCCCCCTTGTACAGTTGTCGCTGCAGTTTCCCCATGGGGGTATTAAACAGGCCCATTGCAGGGCTGCTTTCAGCTGTGTAATACGGTAACATATTGGCCATCTACAGCTCCCTTTTATCAAGGTAGCTCCTAGGGGCTTCTCCACACCTTCCTTACCACACTTTGTAGGGCGTCCTGTTTCCCAGGTCTCTCTAGCAAGTGGGCTAGCGGTGGTCTTCTGAAGGCTTTTTTGTCTCTCAGTGACTGTAAGGCTGAAGACGCTCCTGGACCAGACTCTGCCCTACCTAGAGCATGGAGATGTCAGGGTGTGCAGATGTCCGGATCCCAGGAGATATCAGGGTGAGCAGAAGTCCAAGCGCATTCACTCGGCAAGGACTTCCTATTGAGCCAGACACATCTGTGCCCAGCAGTTTTATCCTCTCCTGCCCATTATGACCTGTGCCCATCACACACCCCTTTGTCTCTGTTACCCATCAGCCCCTCCCTCAGAGCAGGGACACTGTCCTCTCCACCTTACCACCCTCCCACCCCTCCTGCCACAGCTCAGCTCACTACCCCCACCCAGCAAGGGTCCCATCTAAGAATCAATACATACTGGCAAATTGCTTTCAAAGAGAGTTAGGCAAATTTTCTGTTAGGCATAAGTTTAAAATACACATATTCTCTTATCCACCACTTTTAATTGTAAATGATTAGAATTAATTGACAATTTACCTTAAAGAAAGAATTGTTCAAGTTGGTAAATTGGCTAAATACAGGATGTTTATCAAGTTTTATTGTATCAAAAAAGGTAATAACCAAGAATAATATCTTACAATAAGGGTTTGGTTAAATAAATTATAGAACATTCTATGATAGAATATTCTTTATCAATAAAAATGATAATATAGTTCCATATTTACTGAAAAGAAAAGATATCCCTGACGTTTTTTTTTTCCCAAAAAGTAGCAGAGCAAACAAATTTCAAACTAGCATTATAGGCACAGTCCAACTTATATAAAATCATCTGTATATGTGATTGAATTTAAAAGTATGTTCAGCGAAATATTTAAAGTGCTTACTTAGCAGTCGTAATTTTAATTTTCTTCTTTATGCTTTCTATTTTTATAAGAATAATTATTATTTCTATTAACAGGAAAAATAAAGCTATTTTTATTAGCAATGCCTATGTTTACAGCCATGATCATTTTTATATTTTGACATACTTTTGAATTGCTGATGAGGTTTTTAACCTTTTTCCTAAACATCTGTACTCTGACTATACAGTGAAAAGACCCTCAAAAATCACGTTTATCCTATATTCTTTACCCAGATTATGTTAAAAAATCTGGGAATATTTTCCAATTATTATAGATGTTATCAAGATTTAATCTTTAATAAGATTAAAATATCTTTATTGGCACAACAAAATACCCAACACACACAGACAACACATATGAAGTCTTCATTTTTGAGTCTTTAGTTAGTTCTGTAGGTCAAAATATGCATTTTTCTTCCCTTTGTATTGAAATATCTGATTATTTATAGTAATATGAGTATTTTTCCTCTATTTATTGAAAGTCCTATTCACATATGGATAGCAATTCTTACTGGCCTGTTCAAAGTCCTTATATCTTAATTTCTACTTCATCTCTTTATTATTCATCTTATAATTAGCAAAAACTAACATTTTAATCAAACTGACATTTTAAAGGTATCCAAGTGATTCGTATCCAAGATGCCTTTTGAAAGGAATAGGTAGCATTGGACACAGTATAATTTAATTTAGGTGCTCCTAAAAAACAAAGTGAAGATATATCAATTTTCTTAAAAGCGCTTTTATGCCATGCACATTTATTACCAGATATTTATCTTAGGGTTTCATTACAGCACTGAGTTAATTGCCTTGTCTCCAGGGAAACCAGAAACTGTATTACTTGTAGGGCCTATGGCCTCTCAGAATTTGTTCCTAATCTAATCATTAGACCAACAATAGTAGAACCTCTGTTATTTAGCCTGATAACCATCAAGTGTAGCGTTCTGGCAAATATGTCTCTATTTTCATGACTCTGATAAAGTTTATCTGAAATTCCTCTAGCTATTTAGAAAACTACCTATTAGTATTTGCCTCAATACTTAAGAAGCTCAGATGGCTAAATAAAAGTCTTAAACCTGAGATTAAGAAATTCTTTTAATGTAAAAGCAGCAGCTTTCTGTATGCTTGCTCTTAGAACAGCTTTCCACATAGTTAGTCATTAGATATTCTTAAAATAAGTTTATGCCCCCTTCTTCTAAAGTTTACGTCATTGGATACATCATTTAATCTCCTGACACCTTATTTTTGTCATCCTTAAAACTAAGATGATCTTTTAGGTATATCTTTCAGCTCCAGAATAGTTATGGTTTTGTGACAGGAATTTATCTTTTCTCCTTCTGTAATAAAACTACTACATACTTTGGAAATCCTCCAAACAATAATAATGAGTCAAGCAATCATTAAGATAGTAACAATTCTAGGAATTGTGCTTCAATACATAGTCTTATTTCATATCTGAATTTCTTCTTGCTGAAATTTTTAAAAGAACCAACATTTAAAATGTGGAAATGACAAAAAGGATAGTCCCGTAAGCTGGGTAGTCAGTGGGAACAGGGCTTAAAACTATGGAATTGAAAAAATGGGTTAAACATTTTAAACAGAGTTCAGTTACTAATGACCATGGCTGTGGTAGGCAGTTTAATTTCCCCAAAAGAGGTCCACATCCTCATCTTTACCTGTGAATACGTGACCTTATGTGGGAGAGGGATTTTGCAGGTGTAACTGAGTTAAGGATCCTGAGGTGGGGAGATATCCTGGGTTATCCAGGTGAGCCCACTGTAATCATTATGGTCCTTATAAGAGACAGACAGGAGAGTCGGCATCAGGAAAGAGTACGTGATGATGGGAGCAGAGGTTGAAGTGATGCGGCCATGAATGGAGGAACGGAGTTGGCTGCAAAATAGGAAATGGCTTCTTCCCTAGGACTTCCTGGAGGAAGCAGCCCTGTCAATATCTTGCTTTTAGCCCAGTGAGAATCATTTTGAACTTTTGACATGCAGAATGGTAAGAATAAATTTCTGTCGTTTTAAGCTATTAAGTTCCTGGTAATTTGTTACAGCAGCCCTAGGAAGTAATACTGATTTTGATACCTGGAAGTGGGATGCTGCTGTAACGAATACATTAAAACGTGGTAGTGGCTTTGGAATTGGGCAGTGGGTAGAGGCCGGAAGAATTTTGAGTAGAACAATAGAAGAAGACTAGACTGCCTTGAGCAGAAATATGAATCACAAAGATTCTGCCAGTGGCGGCTCAGAAGGAAGTGATATGGTAGAGAAAATCTATTTTGTTTTAGAGAAGACCTAAATTGTCATAAATAATGTGTTTGTAGAGACATGGATATTAAAGGTACTCCTGGTGAGAGTTCAAAAGGAAATGAGAATGGTAGAAGAAACCTTTATTATCTTACTGAATATCTAGACTATCATAGGTAGAATGTTGGTAGACATATGAATGTTAAAGATGCTTCTGGTAAGGACTGAGATGCAATAGAGGAACATGTTATTGAAAACTGGAGGAAAGGAGGTACATATTCTATAGTAGTAGAAAGCCTAGCAGAATTGTGTTCCATGGTTCTGTGGAAAGCAGAACTAGTAAATGAAGAACTTGGGTAACTCAGATTTCCAAGCAAAATACTGAAGGTGCAGCCTGGTTCCTCTTTTTGCCTATAGCAAAATGTGAGAGGGAAGAGATAAAATGTACAAAGAACTTTTAAGTGAAAAGGAACCAGGATTTGGTGATTTGGAATTTTCTCGGCTTATTGAAAAAAAGATGCTAAAATTTGTAGATTCACTGTGTTCTGGAGAGAAACACAAAACTGTGGCTGGATAACTTTTTTCTAGGGCTTCAATAGGATCAAAATATTAAATTTATTCAATCATACAGAGGGTTCTTTGAAGAGATTAGGTATGTGTCTCATAGATCTTCTCATTCATTTTAGCACTTATCTAGAGATGGGATTAACCAAGGAAGATCTGTGGAGGCAGCTCTTGTTTAATTAAATGAATTTCTGTGACATATATGCGATACCCACAAGGTTTTTGAGTTTTGCATATCAGCAGAGACACTGTAAGCTCGGACTGAAAGGAATCGGAAAAATCCAAAGTAAAAGAAGGCTGTTAAATTCCTAAAGGAATGAATTCTTACAGGCAAGAAACAGGCTTATAAAACAACTCAGTTGCAAATATATGCTAACCTTTACGAAATAGGAAGTAAGACTCAGAGGATAGGGCTGAGGGCCCAGAGGATGGAGCTGAGAACTACAAAAGGTTATTCCTATGCCTGAATCCTGATGGGGTTTTCCCAGTTGGTTTTCTAAATTGCTTATGATTGTTGACTCCCTTTTTTCCCTTTCATTTCTCCCTCTTTGAATGAGAATATCTGTCATTGTTATTCAATGCCTTTTGGGAGCAAAGAACTTGTTTTCTAGTTTCAAAGGTTCACAGATGAAGAGGAATTTTGTTTCAGAATGGATTGTACCTATAGTTTCACCCATACCTGATTTAGATGATGAGATCTCGGTCTTTTGAGCTGGTGACATCTAGATGAGAATTTGAGTTTAAGTTGATACTGTAATGGGTTAACACTTGGTGGGAATGTTGAGATGGGGTGAATGGATTTTACGTGTGGATGGATGTGCCTCTTTGGAGGATAGAAGATGGGTCATGAGAGACAGAATATCACCTCCTTTTCTCCATAAAGTCCAGTGTTCTAATCTCTAGAACCTGTGAATATGTTAATTTGTATGGCAAAAGGGATTTTATAGATGTGATTATGATAAGGATCTTGAGATGAAGACATTATCCTGGATTGCATAGATGGATCCAATGTAATCATAAGGGTCCTTAGAATAAAGGAAAGTAATATGAAGAGAAAAGCAAAGAGAAATTTTTAAATGTCATTGTTGCTAGCTTTGAAGATGGAGGAAGGTGCTATGAGCCAAGGAATGCAGGTGATCTCTTGAAAATGGAAAAGGCAGGAAACAAATTCTCTCCTAGAGCCTCCAAAAGTAACTGATACCTTGATTTT